GGTGTGGTGCCCAGAGGGACTGGGGCTAGGGAGGAAAGGGGGAGGAGAGGGAGTTAAATCGGGATCCAGAAGGCTAGCCAAAGAGAACCAAAGTGCCACGTGACTGGGCAGGCGCTAGGGGCTGATGGTTGGAGGGGAGGGGGGCACGAAACCGCTCCTGGGCGGCAGGCAGGCGGCCAAGGGACCTGACCGAGGTCCTCTTGCGCAAGGCCTTCCTTGGGAAGAAATTTGGTGCGGAGGGAGGAAGGGGGAGCAACTCACAGGAAGCGGGGGTAGAGCTGGACTGTGACCAGCCAGGGAAGGCACATTGCTTTGGATCCCCACTCACCTTAATCACGTGCCAGTGCCTCTCCCCCTTCCTGAATTCCTGCATTGTCCAGCTGGAGATGGGGAGAAGATAATGCTTACCCCAACTCAGCTTCAACTGGCTTTCCTTCTTTATTCTCAGGACTGTGTCAGAGGGTTGTCAATCTGTTATGCCCAATGTACAGAGAAAGATGGCTAAGATTTCTAAAAAGGCTTTAGAGATTGACTAATCTGAGTCTCACTTTACCTCTCTGAGCCTCAGTTTCTTCATCTGGAATATGGGAATATTGATAACTGCAATTTTCCTGAGAATTCTAAGATAATTGACGTGAAGTGCCTGTAGGGATTCAAAATATGAGAGCTATATTTAACTGTAAACTGAAGCTCAGAGAAGGGACCTGCTTTGTCCAGGGACAAGAGGCTAAGGGGCAATTTCCCTCCCTCAAATCTCAGTATCTCTGACTGTCTAGTCCAGTGGTCGGCAAACTGCGGCCCCTTGAGTGTGGCTCTTCCACAAAATACCACATGCAGGCCTGCACGTACAGTGCAATTGAAACTTCGTGGCCACACTCAAGGGGCCAAAGAGCCGCATGTGGCTCACGAGCCGCAGTTTCCCGACCACTGGTCTAGTCCATGGAAAAATACACTTCATGCCCAGGACTGAGCTCCTCATCTCCCCTCCCTATGCCCACCCCAAATACACACTGAGCAAAGGTTGTCTCACCACAAATTCCTGTTTTCTCTTTAACATTCCCAAGGTGATAAGGTGGCCTCTAACCTTCTGAAGACTTGTATACTTATTATGCTCTATTATACATTTTGTCTACTTTTAAGCATGTCTCAGGGCACTTATGCTTTCCTTTTTCTAGCAAAGACATCTGTCTTTTTAAAAAAAAGATTTAAAAATTGACTTTAGAGAGAGAGCTAACAATGTGAGAAACATTGATTGGCTACCTCCCATACACACCTCAACTGGGGATCAAACCCCCAACCTGAGTATGTGCTCTGACTGGGAATTGAACCCACTGCCTTTTGGTGTACAGTACGATGCTTCAACCAACTGAGCAACACCAGCCAGGGCAGTCTTTTTTTCTTTTAAAAAATATTTATACTATACAAGTAATATATGATCATTCAAGAAAATTACATAAACTACTAAAAACATACACAAGACTATTTTGCTACTGATCAGATTCTTTCACTTGCCAAGTTACATTCCCAACCTAAGCCAGTTTCATCAAAGAGGACCCTATGGCTCACAATAGCTGACAAGATGGAAGGAAAAACACCAGGCTTTAAGGTCTTAGAGTCTGGAACTGGAGACATGGTAGTCATAGAATTTGCTTTCTCTCAGCTCTGCTTGTCTTGATGTCTCTTTGCACAGTTTTCCTTTCTTCTGCAGAGTGATCTATCTCTACCTGGCAGGAAACATGGTGTGGGGCAGCCCCAGCTTTCCAACTGAACCCAGCAGAAGGAGAGCTGTATACTCAGGGGAGGACTCTGTGATGGGTTCTGCTGGAGTGACATGCCTACCTCTTGGCCCCAAAAACTTGCCAGTTGAGTGAGATACTATATTGGGCAAATGTACTATCATGGCAGCCACACCAGAGTCACCAGGAATGAAAAGGGGTATCTTGCCCAAAGGAAATAGGGGTGCTGGGCAGGTGTGAATAACAAATTCATCCCAGCTGTGTTCACATCAATCAGAGATAACCAGTGTTAATATTTTGTGGTAAAAAATATATATATATTTTGTGGTACATATTATTTCATACGTTTGGGGATGCATATACACATACACATTACTTCCTACAGACCCCACGCTCACAACGAGCATATTTCAAGATACTAAAACAAAAAGTGACTCAAGGCGGGGCAAATTTATGAAGAGAAAAAGGAAATAATCCTCTTTTCTCCTTTGTTGTTAAAAAGATGACAAAGAATTTATCTCCCTTAATTCTTGAATCTGACAGAAAATAAGCCATTGGAGGAGTGAAAATGGAAGAAATCACAGGGAAAAGATGGACAGGTTTATAAAACATTAAAATATTCTTTTGCCCGGTTGGCGTGGCTCAGTGGTTGAGCGTTGACCTATGAACCAAGAGGTCACGGTTTGAATCCCAGTTAGGGCACATGCCCTGGTTGCAGAGTGTGTAGGAGGCAGCCGATTAATGATTCTCTCTCATCATTGATGTTTCTATCTCTCTCTCCCTCTCTGAAATTAATAAAAACATTTAAAGAAGAGAGAGGGGGGAACTCAATGTATAAAACATTACCCTGAGGACTGAAGGGTCCGAAGATGTGTGGGGCAACCAATTGATGTGTCCATCTCATGTCAATATTTTTCTCTCTCTCTCTCTCTCTCTCACTCTCTCTCTCTCTCTCCCCTTCATCTCTGAAATCAATACAAATGTATATATTTTTTTAAAAAGATAAAACATTTTTTTAATTTCTGTTGCTAGAAACAAACCAAAAAACCCATACCCTACTCCCAAGTCATAGCCAACAGTAAAAGGCAAATTTCAGACTGGGAAATGTTTTATAGACAATGGGTTAATATTTCTGTTAAGTAAAGAACACAGCTGAAGCCGGTTTGGCTCAGTGGATAGAGCATCAGCCTGCGGACTGAGAGGTCCCGGGTTCGATTCCGGTCAGGGGCATGTACCTGGGTTGCGGGCACATCCCCAGTGGGAGGTGTGCAGGAGGCAGCTGGTCGATGTTCCTCTCTCATCGATGTTTCTAACTCTCTCCATCTCTCTCCCTTCCTCTCTGTGAAAAATCAATAAAATATATTAAAAAAAAAAGAACACATAAAATTGGTAACAAACAGATCAAGAACCCAATAAATAGTCAAAAGAAACAGATGAAACAATAAACAAGGAACAATTTCTACCTCACAAGTAATTAAAGTACAAACTAAAAGAGCTCATAGCCTTTCAAACTTGAAGTTTAAAAAACTGGTAACACTAAAGCCTGGTTTTACTGTGAGCAATGGATACTTTTACATTTCTAGTGGGAAAAATGAGTTAAAATATTTTATAAAGCAAATTTAATGGGGGGGTTAGGGGGTGCTGGTTGGGGAGGGTGGAGGAATTGAGAGAAAACTTATGGACACGGACAACAGTGTGGTGATTGCAGAGGGGGAGGAAAAAGGTGGAAGAGGGTATCCGGGGATAAATGATGATGGATGGAGACTTGACTTGGCGGGGGGTGGGGTGAACACACAATATAGTGTACAAGTGGTGTGTTGTAGAATTGTGCATCTGAAACCTGTGTAATTGTGTTAACCGGTATCACCTCAATAAATTAAATAAAAAGGAACAAAAAGCAATTTGGCAATATGCATCAAAGGCTTAAATAATGTCCACGCCTTTTTGAGCCAGGAATTCCTCTTCTGGGAATCTATTTCAAGAAAATAATTCTGAATTAGAACAAAGCTATCTGCTTCAAGATGTTTTTGGGGTGTGTACCAATTTGGTGTTCAATTATTTAAATTATATTTAAACAACAACAACAACAAAGAAATGGAATGGATTTAGATGTCATCTCACATCTTTTTTCTCCTTCTATTGAAACAGTGATGGTGCATTAAAAGACATTTGAAGTCAAACAGACCTGGTTTCAAACTCCACTTCCACCCCATACCTGCTGTGGGATCTTGGGTAAATCATTTCACTGTTCTGAGCCTGTTTCTTCACCTATAACATGGCATAATCATACTGATAAACATATCTACTTTGTAGCACTATTTTGAAAATTAGACAACTTGGAAAGTGCCTTTCACCTAGTAGGCTAGTTCCTTTGCTGTCACTTGTGTTCCCAGGACATTCCTGGTGCATAGTAGATGCTCAGTAAGAAATGGGTCAGAGGAATTCTCTTCGCCTTTTCTATACATCAGCTATCTCAGGATAACTGCTTGTAATATTATTTCTTCTTCCATTCTTGAAGCCCCCATGTTGTAGTCAAGCTCCAAATTTGGAGTTTTCCTTC